AGATCAATTGAGACCATTTGCAGTAGTCTAGGTAGAGATGCTAGTTGCTTGAACTTGATAGTGGCAGGTACGTAGGGAGAAGTGGACAGATTTGAATCTCCATCAGAGGTCTAACTGACAGTGCATGATGATGTATTGCATGTGGGAGATGAGAAAGGCTGAAGTGTTGAGGAGGACCTGCAAGATTCCTTTTTGAGTAACTGGATGAATGGAAGTGACATTGATATTAGAGATGCTTGCCTGGCATTGGACTTGAGGTGGTGATAAGAGCAGTTTGGTTGTCTTTATTTTATAATGGCCTCTGAAAGGAAAATAGTTAGAACTGACCCTATATTAATTAGGTTTTGATAGGTTATTAAAGCATACAAAGAGACAAGGTAATGATACCCTCCACAAGTGTATCCTGTGCTTTTCATTTGATATGGTTACTGTTTTAATCCTTAAGTAGAAGCTCACTAGAAAATTATATTAAGAGGGTAGGGTTAATTTTATTTCTAAAAAAACCCTGAACATTAGAAGGATTAAAGAAATGTAGGGATTTAGTATCTGATTCATGTGATGACCATAACATGTTTCAAGGGAGAATAAAACATTTTATCTTTGTAACTTTTTTCTAAAGCAGATAATTATTTGAAGCTCTAACTTTCATAAATGTATGTGGATTCTCAAGTACAGTGTAGTTACACAAAAGGAGGTATTTAAAAACATCAGAGGGGTGTTTTAGGGTTGTGTAGGTTATCTAAATATTATTTCCGGACATTTATTTTTACCTTCTGCTTTTTACCCTGGTGTTGATCTTTGTGATCCTAAAAAGCAAAAATAAAATTTCTGGGTATAGGGTTAATTTATGTTTCCTGAAAAGACACATCTAAAAGTCAAGAGAAAAATCTGCCGCTTCTCTGAAAAACTAAGCTGCTTTAATATGCTCTCCCTTCCTAACTCCCGGTTGGCATAATTACTTCATTACTCAGACTGTGTGCACGTGGCTTGCACTCTTAATTTATACCTGTTTGTTATGTTTACTCATGTAATTCCCTACTTTTATTCATAGTCACTTCAGTGTTAAGAGGGTAAAAGTGGAGAATTGGTGGTAATATTATTCATGTTGCAGTGAATTCCCACTGTGCTAAACCCAGGTTATAATTCCTCCCTTGGATGGCTGCTTGGAAGCCTGAATTCTCACTGTATGAAAGGAATTTAAACATTTGATAAGAGCCGTGAAATGATGTTTATTTCTGAAGTTCTTTTCATTGTTTAGCTTTTTTTTTTTTTTTTGGTCTAATATGCCTAATTAGACTTAAAAAGATAATTTATTTACAGACTAAAGAGTGTCATAATAAAATCAGATGTCAGTTTTGAAGTAGTCTTTAGCCATTGGAGATTGAGGCTTGCTTACTTTCGTAAGAATAAAAAGAGAAAACAGTCAATACTTTTTCAGTGTTGCATAATGGGATTGTGTGATAATAGGCAGGTGACTAAAGTTCCAAATACTCTTCTGAGTTCAGGGTTACATGTGAATATGAACTTTATGATTTTGGGGAAAATGTACATTTATTTCATAACTAAATTTAGAAGTTTGGAAGTTAAAGCAGGAAATGCTATTTCCCAGACCTAGTATTGAAAAAGTACAGAAGAGACATCACCATTTTTATAGATAAAAACTGCTAAAAGCTAATTAGCACTGCAGAGGGCATTGGTAACTGGTGATAATTTACTCAGTGATCTAAAGGACAGGGAAACAGCAAGGTTGATAACAGTCACTTTATATTAAAGTCATATCTTTCTGTCTAAAACTGATTTTAAAAAACTATATTTCATTTTTAGAAGCTATTTTTGAGCATTCATTTGTGCATCCAAGAAACACTTAACTCACCTGCCCTCTTGGTCTCTGAAAAATAGGAACAACTTCAGGTCTACTTACTGACAGTCAAAGCCCACCTAGAGTAGGTCAAGGAAAACCTCTTCAAGCAGTTTTTAAAGGTTGAAGTAATGTAGAAATAGGCAAAGGAACAATGTAACCATATTTCTTACCAGGCAATGTTTTAGTCTCACATGTCACATTAGATAGTATGCTTATGTAAAATAGTACTGTTCAATGGAAATGTGAGCCACATACGCAAATTTTAAATTTTCTGGTAGCCACATTGAAAGTAAAAAAATAGGTGAAATTAATTTTAATATATTTTATTTAACCAAATATTCAAAATATTATTTCATTATGAAATCAATATAAAAATTATTAATGAGATATTTTACCTTTTGGGGGGTATTAAGTCTTCAAAATCCAGTGTATTTTGACACTTAGAGCAAATCCCCATTTGGACTAGTCACATTTCAAGTGGCTACTGTACTGGACAACACAGTTGTAGAACAAGTGTTTTCTTTTTCTTTCCTATTTTCTACAGAGCTCCTGAGGGAGCTCAAGTACTACATTGAATTTTGGAGGTGAATGCCCCATATTTACAGTTTGGTTAGGAAGGGCTTGTGGCAATATGATTAATATCCTGGCTAGCTTAAGCAGTACTGAATTCAGCACCTAAGGACTTGGGGTAAAGAAGGCTAAGGAATGGTTTGACTCGCCTCCATTCTCTGTGAGCATGTATTATGATTGTCCTGAGAATACTCAGTTTGTGGAGAACTGAATTGTCAATTTCATGTTTTGTAGAAAAATACACTTTGAGGAATTTTCTTTTGCAAGATGTAAGTAAGGCATGACATTTTAAAATATGTTTTTTGTTTTCTTTCAAAAATAAATTGAAAATAACCCAACCATTTACTTTTTATAATACATGGAAAGACGTATTCCTTCCATCATAAGCTTTTTTTGAGGGGGGCAGTTATTAAATACATGTATTGATATTCATTCCCATTGGTTTTCATTAAAGGCATTTGAAGCTTAAAAAATAACATTACTTACAAACTTGAAAATGAAAGACATTAAGTCATAAGATTTGGTTTTGCATCATTTAGCTATATTTTTTGAGTATGTGGGTTACCTAGAAGTGTGCATTTATTGAGTTTAGATTTTAATAATAAAAACTTCCTCTTAAATGAATCCTGATTTTATCAGTGCACTTTGTGGGCTAAATGAATTAGGCTCCAGACTTTTATCCGAATCTGTGGAGCTTGGATATAAATTGAAAAGATCACAGCTATGGGGAGAAGACCTGTACTGCAAAGGCCTTTCTGCATAGATGATGAACGTCATAACTCAATAATTTTTTCAAAACTGTGGTTATAATTGGACCCAATGGGGGTCTCTTTCTTTGATCAGATCACAGTAACTGTGACTTTACACTGGAAAATGTCACTACTGTGAAGGTTTATCACCTGTAGAGCTGGTCTTTCCTCTGATGCTGTGTTCATTTCTCATTAGCATTATTCAAAGTTTAGTTGTTAATTAGGTTGACACTTCAATTACAGTCATCATCTACAGGAGTAGTCAGGGCTACTTGCATAAAGAAATTTTTAAAAATACCCCTCCTTGTGTCTATATGTAAAGAAGAAATGACATTATTTTATTTTATTATCTGGTAGTTTCATAAGGGTCAGAATATGCTCTGTTAAGGGAACAGTCCAACCACAATTTCTCCATCAGTTTTGTTTTCTTGAAAAAACAATTTTTATGTGACTTCATGTTCCCTGTAAAGCATCACTGAGGAATGTATATGAGCACCAATATTTTTTAAGTGTAGAGAGTGTAGTTTTCTATAATGTGTGAAAGGAATTGGTCAGGTGAATTAGATAAAAGGAACATATCACATCATTTCGCCTTAAAAAAAATAGTATACATCAGGAGTATGATTATACCTACAGAATACTCCTCTAAGTAAGGGCCATTTATAAATAATACGCATTCTCTAAAATACACAGAACCTGAACTTGAAGGACAGATGTGTATGAAAAATGATAACAAATTTAGGTGCCTTGAAAAATTATGCAGACTCCTGAGTAATAAATTTTTCTTTGATTTAAAAACATTATTTTATTTTATTTTATTTTTTTTTTTTAAAGATTTTATTTTATTTATTTGAGAGAGAGAGAATGACAGACAGAGAGCATGAAAGGGAGGAAGGTCAGAGGGAGAAGCAGACTCCCTGCCGAGCAGGGAGCCCGATGCGGGACTCGATCCCGGGACTCCAGGATCATGACCTGAGCCGAAGGCAGTCGCTTAACCAACTGAGCCACCCAGGCGTCCCCCAAAAAACATTATTTTAATCTGATTACTGGTTCATAAGGCAATGACATTGAACTCAAACCCAGCACATTGTAGTGGAAAAAACTGGACAGAACTGGGTTGAAATCTGTCTTCCCATGTATTAGCTGTGTAGGGAGGACAAACTGATTCACATCTTTGAGCCCCTGTTTCTTCATTCATAAATGGTAATATGAATGTCTTTCTCAGAAGGCTATGAAAACTAAATGAGACAGTGTATAACATGTGCTTAACATGATATCTCTACTCATGGTAGGTTCTCAATCACTTTAACTTCTCCCCCTCTCTTTTTGTCTAATAATGGTGAAAACTATTCAACAAATGACTAGAAAATTATATGCAAATGAGGCATCCAAAAATAAAATTAAATGGTAAGTGATCCTGGAGGACCTGTAACAAATAACCTGACACGGAAGAAATGAACGATACCCAACCGGCTTCATCTCAAAACAAGTAGACACACATGTTGTAATTGCTAAAAATCTGCAGAAAAGTGGCTCACAAGCAGTTTACCATAAAATAATTAAAGCTTATTTATGTCAAGAGGCCTTGGGAAAAAAAGAGAGCATAAACCAATTTGCATTAGCACGTTACTATCGACTCCTGCTTTCGTTTCAATTAACAGACCAGCAGGTGCTCTCTGCAGTTAAAAAGATAAGCTATCAGGTAGGAGGATGAGTTTTTGGCTGACCTGCAGACACTGTGGTTTGCCTGCTGATTGGGTTCGTACCTCGCTGTACCAATTTCTGAGGTGTTAATTTAACTGTTCCTCTCTGTCATGCAGGTCTCGGCCCTGAAAAATAAACTGAAGAAGCAGTCTACAGCTACGGGTGATGGAGTAGCTAGGGCCTTTCTTAGGGCACAGGCTGCTTTGTTTGGATCCTACAGAGATGCACTGAGATACAAACCTGTAAGCGTTTTATTTCATCCCTATTTTAATTTGCTTTTTTATGGTTCTTTAGAATGGGTCAGAAAAAAGAAACATTTAATATCACACATGAAAAAAGTATCATAAAGGTCTTTTAAAATCCAAAATAATGTGCTTTAAGGCATTGTATTCCTTGACTTTTCGGTTTTCGTTGTTTTAGTAACCTTTAGTTACTATTTCCCACATTCTTTGGCACATCATTTATGTATTGTTCTAAATTGGCTTACCTCTTAACTAATTAATGAATTGTGTGTTAATGCATTTTAATGTAACTACCTGATCTTAAGATCATTGAGAAATTAACTAGAGAGTTGGGTTTTATAGATTAATGCATATAGAAGTGACGGTACAAAGTGAAAATTTAAAAATAGTGGAGCTTGGAAATTTTGCAATATTTGGAAATTTATCATCTTCCTATTCCATAACATTTTTTTGAGTGGGTTTATCTATTTAGCATATGCTAGCTCATTTTGGCATTTCTTTTTTGTTTTAATACCCTAAAAATGATTATTATGTGGAATTGTAGCCAGCCGAGTTTTTAGATAGTCCAAGAAGATATAAATCAAAACATGTTTCTCTCTCTGAATTATTGGTTAAATACGTTAGTCTGATTTTAATGAAAATAATTACACTGCCCTTCCATGACCAGATGAATAAGTTGTAATGGATAAAACATTGAGTTAGTAATAGCAAGACATGCTATCTAATAGGAATTCCACTGTTATTAAGCTGTCTAACCTTGACCCATTTCCTCGGTCTCTCTAGACTTTGATCTTCTCATTTGGAAAATGAGAGTTCTTATACTTGGTACCTGTCTACTTTTCAGAATTGGTGTGTGAACCCTGTCATAAACGATGAAACACTAAACACTTGTGAATGGGGGATATCCTTCCTAAACTGACTTCTCAATTAGTAGTTCGCACCCAATGGCTCTTACATCTCTGAGGAGTTACTAGGAGTCCTTAAATGGATAGGCAGATAAACTGCTGTCTCCGGAGAAGTACATATGTCTAATTTGCCTGCTCATCTTTTTGAAATATGTGTCTATTTTTTAAAGCATTGTAGAAGTCATAATACTGCATATAGTATACATATGGGGGAATCACATGGGGGAGTCTTTAAAAATTATTGAGAGTTACATGGTCTCATTTATTAAAAGACTGGAAACCAATCATCTATACTAATAATATTGTAAAATCATTTCTGGTTATCAGATTTTTTTAAAACAGGTTGATTTCAAGTTTACAGTACAAGAGGGAAATTTAGAAGTATCAGCTTAAATTTTGCCACATTTAAATAATTTTTAATCTTTGCAGGCTACATTTTTCTTTTCCTTTTTAAATTTGTGAAGGACTTCAGATTTGAGGAAAGCAAATTGAAGAGAAAATTTTCTTAAATCATTTAAATTATCAGTTGAGCAGATAGGGATCTGAGATTTCACTGACTCTGACTTTTTTTTATCTTCAAAGCCAGATTCCCAATTTCTGCGGGAAAATATATCATTTCATCAGAAAATATCTTTCCTGATTATCGATCACATCTTATTATAAACTTGTTTGTTAACTTATCTACCTTTTTCCTTTTTATGTCTGGTATTTTCTTTCTTTTTTCTGCTAATTCTTTCGGGAAGTTGAGGGACAGTATTCTTATTCTGTATGTTTTTACATTTCTTTTGACTCAATCTTGAATGAAAGCTTAATTTTTAAAGTATACTAAATATATTTAGACACTTTTTTATTTTCAATGAGCCATTTTTTTTTTAAGATTTTATTTATTTATTTGAGAGAGAGAGAATGAGAGAGAGCACATGAGAGGGGGGAGGGTCAGAGGGAGAAGCAGACTCCCTGCCGAGCAGGGAGCCCGATGCAGGACTTGATCCAGGGACTCCAGGATCATGACCTGAGCCGAAGGCAGTTGCTTAACCAACTGAGCCACCCAGGCGCCCCAACACTTTTTTATTTTCAAAATAGTTTTTAAGGAAAATGATTTCTTTGTTGTGTATAAAATATTTTTGTTGTCGTTTAGGCATTATCTTTGCAAATTACTCTATATTTTAATTTACTCAAAATACATTTACTTTTTGTTTTGTGAACTCTTTTAGACATTTATATAATAGGCATATGTCTTTAATATATTTTCTAATTGATACAAAAAAAGAGCCATGTTTAGAAGTTATAATTATTTCATGTTTTTTTCTCTTTTGATAAAAATTTCTCAGTAGTATCCTCTAGCTATTAGAGTACAACTGGAAAAAAAAATTACTAAATAACTTTAAAGGAATACGACTTCTTTAACTGGGTATTACTTTTCAAAATTTCATGATTGTTTATATATATATAAAAGCAAACTATTCTTATTATTATGTTATTTCTCTTACACTGCCAAAATTAAACCTGTAGATAAGGCCTGTGACTGCCCTTCAAGGCCCTCACAATGGGCAGGCAGTCTGTCTTTACTTTTTTCCTAAACTTTGACCCCAATTCAGAGAATTCTGCCTGAGGCTTCAAATGTCCCAAGCTTCTCAGGCTTCCAAACATTCCAAATTATTACAAATAATGTTCTTTCTTCCTGGTAGTGCTTTTATCTTTCTTGCCTTTCGTGGCCATCGCCATCTAGTTCCTTCCTGATTCTTGAAGCTGTAGTTTATACTGACCCTTTTTTTCTATGAATTGATTATACTTACTTTCTTTAACACATTTCTTCTCCCTTTTTTGTATGTTATTTATTATGGTTCTTTTATTATTTTTACTGAAATTCATAATTTATTAGTTGCTATTAAAACAATTATTGACCTTTAAGTACTCACTGGGTACCAGGCACTAATAGCCCCTTTAGATAGGCTATTTACCCTTTTCTTTTTAAGGATGAGGAAAATGATATTCACAGAGTACAAATAACCTCACTAAGGTTCTCCAGCTAGTAAATAGTGGGGCCTGCATTTGTGTTTATTCTCCTGCAGTCCCACTCTTGTTCCAGTGTGGCATGTTTCTGCTCTCTGTGGTCACCATTACTGTATCATACTCTCCTTGAGATAAATGTCCTGAACTTACATTTCTTCCAAATGAAGATGCCTGGAAGGCATTCAGTACACACTTAGGAAAGACTGAACGAATGATGCAGTCTTAGGACTTTTCTCAGAAGGAGCACATGGTCTTAGGCATCCCATGGTGTGTATATGAATTGGGGAAATAATTTGTTATTCATGCTACATATTTCCATTTATGGTTTTGTCGACCTGGGGTGACTGCCCGGGCTCATACTGCACCTTCCGACTCCCTCAGTTTTCTGTAGTGTTGCTGGAGAGCCAGCCGGGTGTGGCCTGTGAGGGAAAGCCCTCAGGATGATTTGAATGTCCATTTTCAAATGCAAATACTAAATACCTATGCTAAATGCTGCCAAAGAGGAACTTCTATTCTAAATTAAGCTTAGAATGTCTGAGCGACAACTCTAAATATGTTGTTAGTCTTCTCAGAGTTCCTCATTTACACCTTCTAAATGACACACTAGCATTATTGACAAGTAAATTGTGCCTGCTCTTAATTACAGAGAGAAATATACAATTCCTTAAAGTTGTTGGAAAGTGATTTAAATAAAACAATGGATATTTTGATATTTTGGGGGATTTTAGCCAGCAGCAAGTTAGCTACTTTTTAAGAATTCAAAAATGTGAGATCAAAGTAATGTGCTAACTGGATTGAAGGAAAGTGGTAAGAACAGAGTCTAGAACCAGGCTGCCTGGATTCAGATCCTCCTCCTGTGACTGACTAGTTGTATGAGTTTGGGCAAATTAATGTCTTAGTGCTTTAGTTTCCTCATGTGTTCTTTAAAAAAGGTAATAATTCTTCTTGGGTTATTTAGAGGATAAATGAGTTCATAAATGTAAGTTACTTAGAACAGTGTCTGGCATATAATCAATGCTTTATATATTAACTATTATTAAAATGACATTTTAGAAGTACCAAGTTTGGGGGAGGAAAATCCCTTTAACAAACTAAAAGTACCCTCCTCTGATTCCTCAAAAGAAAAACACTGTTATAAACATGAGAATAACTTTTAAGTGATTGTATTAAATAACTAATAAAGGGTCATCAGTTGTACCTCTGTGTATCATTTGTGTCACAAGCTATTAAAAATAAAAAGTCAATTTTTGACCAACGGCTAATGCTAAAGAAATATTTGCCTGAGTTAAAATACTGCTTAATACTTTCAAAGGCATATCCTTGATTCTCTAAGAGCAGAGAAGTAACACTCAGATCTAGTCCTTTGAATACTTGGGTGCTGTCATTTGTTTCAATCACAAGCTTTTCTGGGCAGCTGGGAGGCTTGCTAATGGATAAAAAGTAAATTCTTTTTAAAATAAAGTTTGGTTAGTAATCTAGGCCTCTGGCAATTTGGAAGAGTTGTCCTTTTGGATTATATTCCTTTAAACATTATCGGTAAATAATGTTATATTTTGTGATTAAACTCAGACAATTTAAGCACAGGATTGGCATCCGTAATTTAAGTGGCCATTTACTAAATCTTTGCCTTAGAGTTTCCATTTAACAGATTTGTAACTGTCAACTTGTTAGCGATTTAAAAATCCAAGTTGAAAAAGTACATTTGCTCACCCCTCTTGGTTTTATGGTTACTAAAACATTTTAGGCATCCATTCATCTCATTACCCAAGCTTGAGTATGGACCTTTTGACTTTAGAGATGGTTGTAGCCAAGGAAATATTTGTTGTGTATTTGGCTTCTGATAGAATATGGTTGCTTTTATGGCACTTTCTTTCTGCTCTTTTTTTTTTTTTTTTAATAGAGAAGGAATCTTGCTTAACTGCTGTAGCAAAAATGTAAAAATTCGGCACCATTACTATGGGATAGGTAGAGCTAGGGACTCTAATAGTAAGGGTTTCATTTTTATATTACTGGTAATATGTTTCATGAGAATAGAGAGTGTTTTTCTTTAAATTGTGGGAAAGAAAATGTATATTTTTCATA